ATAAATAAATAAATAAATAAATGATTGAACTATCCCATGCCTGCTCCACAACCACAACCACAGGGAGAAAACTCCACTTAATAGTCCATTAACTCAGCTAGGTAAAAGTTCAGTGAAAAGGACTCTTACAGCAAATATTTTGTTCTGCCTATCCCAGGGGTTAGTTTGTACATAGTCAGCAGATTCAACTGGTAGTAGTTTGCCTGGATTGTGCAACTCAGACTACAGGTCTGAACATTAGAATGCATCCTCATAAATAGCAGCAGTTCCCTTTATAACAATTCATAGAATCGTGGAATCTTAGAGTTGGGAGGCGCCAACAGATTGGCAGCTGAAACACATCCCCATCCTTAAGGCGTCCATGCAGATGGAAGGATAATTGGCTTTGGTCATAAGGCTGAACTGGTCAGCATTTTAGAGACATGAGAGTCTGCTTTGTCAAGATCTTCATATGTATTACCCATGACTTTTTTTGATCATAATTTAAGCTAAGAGGGAGGCTCTCAAGAAGAGAAGCATTGCTTTTTCATGAAAAGAATTAACATTGTATTGTTGAGGGCTTTCATGGCCAGAATCACTGGGTTGTTGTGAGTTTTCAGGCTGTATGGCCATGTTTCAGAAGCATTCTCTCCTGACATTTTGCCTGCATCTATGGCAGGCATCCTCAGAGGTCACAAGAACCCAGGAATTGACTTTGTTGCTGTCACTATAGTCAACACATTTGCTGGGGTTAAAGGACAAATGACTCAATGAAAAAATGAAAACTGATTTTAAAAAAAACATTTTTTACTTTATCTCTGTAGGAATCTCTAGCTCCTGCAGTATGACTTTATGGTCAACTTCTGGCTGAGGTTGCCCATAGATGTGCACTCAAAGGCTCAGAGATTCCTAGAGCGGTGTTCTACTAGGAATCGTTATGTCCTCCATGTCACAGTATGGAAACTGACCACTAGAAAACCTAGAGATTCTAGAAAGAACATTTTAATCAAAATGGTAAATAATCAAATTTGCAAAAGTCAAACCTACAACTGTATGTGCC